TCTTCTGGTGGCGTGGGTTTACCATGATGATAATGAGAAAACCATTCACCAAAACCTTCCTGGGCGTCAAGATATGTTTTATAACAAAGATATTCCCTTATTGCCGCAGCAGCTTTCTTCGACAAGTTATTAGTTATCGTAAGATTGAGCGTGCAGTCCATAGTTGGATACTCGCTCATAACCGATTCAATTGAATCTGATGGAATCTATACAACATACAAAAACAATTATTTAATTATAATACAATTTAATTATATACAATTATAACAAAAGCAATTTATTACAGAATTATAAACTGCGTTAAAATTTATAAAAAATTCATATAATAATTATAATTTTTAATTTTTACCTTGTTAAATGCTTTTCGTGCCGCATCGATTTTTTCGTTAGTCAAAAAATATCTAATGAGCGCATTTGTTTGCCGTAAAGCTTCTTCTCTCTGACTTTGATAGAAAATCAACCAATCCAGACCATTAATCTTTTCGATATCTGCCTCAGTGATAGTTCCTTTTAAGTCCGTTGGGTCGGATTCTACGTCTTTCTTACGTATATTTTCCACCACTAATTTTGTAATTGCTTCTACATTTAAGTTCGCGTCTTCCGCTGCACGCAAACATTTCTTACGCTCTTCATGCTCTTTAACACTTTCTAAGTAAGAGGCATAATTGATTATTTGATCCTCTTGTGGTAATGTAGCTGTGTAGAACGCAATTAAAGTCGGATCGCCCATTTCAATAAGGACGCGAACATACGCCAGTAAAACTTTGTCTTCTACTTTATCCTTTGTACTTTTCCCGATTTGTCTGAAGAATAATATTAGATGAGCCAGGAATCTAAGGAACTGCGAGTCACAGGCGCCAACATCTATCATACTTTCAATCTCTTCCATTAACTTTGGTATTTGGTCTAGTATTATATATTTTTGAATTAAATGATCAGGTTTGTTAGATTGAGCACGTATTATTGGATTTTTTGACGCGTGCAGCTCTTTGAACGCGTCTTCCAACGAGATTTCATTTTTCCAATATTCTTCCGACATAATTGTATAAATTTTTACCATCATTAATCTCAATGCTGATTCAACTTTGATATCTAGAAGGCTCTTCATATAAGCCCACAATGCATCTTGCCAAGAAGATGCTATTTGAAGTAATAGTTGGACATTGCCACAAAGACTTGCATATATGGCACGATAAAATATACCTGCACGAAAAATATATATACATAGAAATATTTATCTTCTATATATTTAGTTAGAAATAAACAGTTGAATTGAATCGATAAAATTAATTGATAAAAAATTTCAGCATTTTAAATTATTTTAAAATTATTCTAACAAAGTACTCCAATAATTTACAATCCTTTTTCAGTAATATTTTGGTAATATTAAATGAATAAATAATTACCTATGCGTTTATCTTGCGACAATTCCCAAGCACATATTTTCCAAAGACTTCTATTAGGATTCCCTTCGATTGGTAATTTAGTATCTGTCAATGGATTACTATAGTTTGGATCATGATTAGGAATCCATCCTAATAAAGATGCGGCTCTCCAAGGTTGACCACAATGCATGGCTAATGCTTGTGCTTTCTGAAGACGTCCACAACGTACCTATAATACACATCTTCTTAAATACAATTACATTTTTTCCATCCTTTTAATTATTTTTATAACATTATGTGAAAATATTTGTTATCCAAACTGTAATTGAGGGGAGTGGCAGAATAAAGGCACAATTCTACTTAGGCCCTTTTTCCGAAGATTAATGCAAATAAACAAGGAATTGATGTTGCTTACATTAGTTAAATATGAACGTGTTTCGATTGTCCTATGATGATGAAAATGATATAATCTATGGAAAAAGGGCATAAATGATTTAAAATTATTAATGAGATTTTTATTAGAGACTGAACGAAAATAGAGTACAATAATTTTTTAAATATTAATTATAATAGAGAGAGAGAAATATTATAACATATAACTTCTCAGACATTATATAAATATACACTGTTCCCATTTGTGGTATAACAAAAAAAGTAACAAATTATTTTAATTTTTATCAAAATCAAGATTTTGTAATTAGGCCTTTATTCAGCCCATCCCTTCAATTGTTATAAAAATATAATTATTTTAATTATAATAATTAAACTATAAGATCAATTGCTAAAGAAATAAGCAAAACAAAGATGTCAAAATGTGTTTAAAGATAATAATTATAATAATTGTAATAAATCATAAATAATTTTAATTGAAAACAAATATGTAGTCTCTATATATACCTCTATAAACATTCGTTTTTCAAGTCTGGCATCATCTTCTCTGTCCAAATCATGCAATGGCCTACCCTCTCGTATCGGCGCATCAGGATCTAAAGACGATACCAGTGGTCTAGATGAGCTGAATGCAATTCCCAAATTTTGATTGTGCAACTGATGGACCGTATTTTCCCAAGCTACTGTTTTATCAGTAAAGAGTTCTATGGACGGACATTTATCCGCTTGATCCAGAGCATTTTTTTCTAGCCAATCAATAATCAATTGGTATTCCCTGATATAACTCTCAGACTTATATAAATTTTCTATAACATCTTTCTCAGAGATATAATTATTGTTTGTTGGTCCATCATGTTCCATTTGTGTAGACAAACCAGCGCTACTTATACGATTCTGGTAGAGGCAATATATCAGTCTCCATGTGTTTCTCTCACTTTCCAAAGAAATTTCTTCTTCTGCTACTTCTGTATTCTCAACTTTTGATTGCATACCTGTTGGGACAGACAATGTTTTGCTTAAAACTTAATACACTGCCATCTACTACAAAAAGATTAAATAAAAACATGTAGAAAATAAATTGAATTAAAGGGCATACACCATTACGCAGGTTCTTGGTAGCAAGATTATAATTTTATTTTGACCATCTATGAGAACAATATAACGTTTCGGCCTCGATCAGACCTTCTTCAGTATACACAAATAAACATAAAAAGTTGGATAATTGTTTACAAAATTAATGTCGCTTAATCTTACAATTACCGTTTAAGTCACCGTCAAATTAAAAATTACATGAAATAATAGAAGCAAACTGTTCAACATCAACTATAATCGTATTCCTCCGAGTGATAAATTATCTTTAGTCCTCGTATAATACATTGATCTTCTAATTGCTAATTTTATTGATCTTGCCTGATCCTTATGAAAAATTATAATCTTGCTACCAAGAACCTGCATAGTGGTGTATGCCCTTTAATTCAACAGTATATGAAGTTGTTTTCAGTATTTTCAATACCTCTCATTATATCTAGAGTGTCGGTACAATTCTGTATGAAATCCGCGATGGTATCAAAGACCTGCGCCTCCGAGAAATGCGCTTGCACGCTCTGCAGGAAGTCATAGTAGAGCTTGGCTTTGGCCTCCCGCCATGGCTCATTCGCCTTCAGAATCGCTCCGGTTGCTGTGCTATCCTCCATCATCTCCTTAATGGTAATATCATTCCTCTCCGAGCGCATCATTATATCGCGGATTTCGTGAGGCGCGAGGGTTAGCGAGGTGTCAAGCTCTACATTGTAGAGCTTGGTTAGTCTGGTTCCCGCGGTCCTGTCGACCACCCCCGAGGTGTCGCCGAGCATCTGTCTACTGTCATCGGCATCCTTCCGCGTCTGACCGGCTGCCTGTAATGATATCCTCTTCGGAGTGGTGCTCCGCTGGCCGCTTAACCTCAAAAATGTTCTCCGTTGACTGTTCTGCTGACTTAACAGACGAATCGATTGGTCGAGGTTCTCCTTCACGTCACTTAACGAATCCATTTCCCTGACATCTGACACGGTCTAGCAAGAAATCTCGATTTGGCGTTGAAAATATCCGAAAGTTGAAAATAACACACTGTGTCACATAAAGAGTTTACTCTTCATCATGATGTAAGAAGAAAGGTATGGCGCGTAATAAGAGAAGGTGAACCATTTATGCGCCATATTGCGCATAATGGCGATAGCATACTGGAAACAACCAATCAAATTCGAGTCAAACTCATACTTCTATTGCGCATTCGCGGGAACGTTACACCTGTCTTATTACACCATAAGTCTGTTCGCGTTGCTTACACTTTTGGCACTCGACATCTTCGCTTTCTCTCTTTTCAAGGCCAAATATATATCTATCTCATTTTAAGTGCAAAAATATTTGGGTATTTCATGCAACGCGAACAGACCTCATGGGTGTACCATTCCCGTGGATGCGCAGTCGTCTAAAGTAATAGCCAATCAGAAATGCTCAGAAATGTTAGAATTCAAATGGCTGTGAATAGTGACCCCTTTTAGGCCGGAATCAGACTACGCATTGAAGATTGAGGTTGAAGATCGAAGATTGAAATTTGACCAATAAGGACAAAGAAATTTTAGCTCCTTTCATTTCGATTGGTCAAATTTGAATTTTTCAATCTTCAATCTTAATCTTCAATGCATAGTCTGATTCCGGCCTTACACCGTTAAATCGGTTAGTACGCGTACCAAATTGATGCGGATTAAATATTTGATACGTCCTTATTTACACCGATCTGCCTTGGCCGGAATCAGACTACGCATTGAAGATTGAGATTGAAGATTGAAGATTAAAATTTGACCAGTGAGGACAAAGGAATTTTAGCTCCTATTGTTTTGATTGGTTAAATTTCAATCTTTCAATCTTCAATCTCAATATTCAATGC